GAAGATGGCGGCCCCATGAAGGGAATCCCGTGTGGAATTTCCCGGCGTTGTTCCCCCGGGAGGGGAAGCGGCCGCACGCCTTCCTCTTCATCTTCCTCTTCCCCCCGGCACGAACCGCAACCGCCCGTCCCCCCCCGCCCTGCAAGTGGCTGCGAAGCCCCCTTGGCAGCCCCACCGCGCTCCCGTAACTGTAACCAGTACAATCTCCCCACAGCACTGACACCTTTATTGTTTCTGGAGCAAAACACACACACACGTACAAATCTTTCCCCTGATCGTTTCCACGGTGTTGAGAACAGTAACAGAGCTTCCCAAACAGACACCGGAGCTGCTGCGGCGCCCGGCTCGCAGGGTGGGTTCCTAAAAGCCGTGGAGGCCGTGGAGCTCCGGGAGCAGCAGCAGCCGGGTTCGCTTACAACACACAGCACAGGACAAAAGGGGTTCTGCGATACAGCAAAGCACAGCAAACATTTCCTCGGAGTTCAACAAACCAAGTCACTCCCGGATGCCAAACACTGCAGGGCCACAGTGCAGGTGCTGGAGAGCCTCCGACCACCCCGTGCTGAGCTGCCGATCGCTCCAGGATCCGCGCCTTCGGTAACATTCCCAGCAGGTACTCGAGATATCCTGAACAAGGTCTCTTTATAGCCTGAAGTCTACTGTAACAAACTACATTCTAATTACTCAACCGAAAAAAAAAATAAAATAAAATAGTGGGATTTATTGAATTTTGAATTCTTGTGAGACTGACCTGCAGTAACCATAAGAGTTAGAACTGTCAACAAACTTGACTTCTTTACAGATTATGTAAAATTATCTGTATTGTGAAACTACAGACCGTGCACCGTTTCTGGGTACACTTCGGATTAGAAAAACCTGCAAGAGAAACAATGAACTTCAGCTTAAAAAAAACAGCCCTGAGAACATGGCTCAACCAGCAAGAGCCCAGTTGAAAAACCACCATTATAAGCAAAAATTAGAAGGATCTGTTGAATTCTTAAAGTATTATTTGCCAACATTTGAGGCAGGAAACACTGCAGTCTTTCCAATTGTGTGAAGTAGTAAGAGAAACTCAATGAACAGGAGTCATACAAAACCATGTTATTTGGAGTGGAAATACCTCTCACCACCTCCCTGTGTTCACAGGCTTTACTCTAAGCAATTGCCATCAGCTATAAGTAGTTTATGGTTTTGACACAATTTAAGTGTTAAGACAGTAATACAGAACAAATACACCGGTAAGATTTGTTTTAAAGTAAAGCTATGAAAGGAGAACTTCCCTAAGCACTTGGTTATGGATATTAAAAATACACATCTCTATGGACTACTGATCACAAAGTTTGTTGCAACGATTCTGTCAGGAAACTGAAGCGTCTTACTTTGGAGAAAAAAAAAAAAGCCTCAAATACATGTTTTAATTTAGAAGCAACTTTTAACCTTACTGAAACTTGGAGATTATGCTTTAAGACATGCTTATGTACCTATGGGAAACTTCATGCATGATGCTCTGCACTTCCATGGTGCCTGAAGTGCTTCACAAAGACAACTAAGTATATAAGAACAAACCTATAATGAAGTACTTAATCATTTAAATCTTGCAGAACTGAAGGTTGCAATAGAAGGACATCTGAAAGTCCCAAGGAGGACTCTTCCAGCAAGCTGGAGGTCATGAAACCTCTATCTTTAGATTACTGTAGTACCTGAAAACTCCAGTCAGGCCAGGACTCCACTTGTGGGATCAGGACTTAATCCAGCCCTGGTCCCAGAGAGCTTAGTCCAAGTAACTGCTCAGATTGTGGGCCAGTGACATCGAGTACCTGTCTTCCAAAACGGTTTTAGAGGACAGACAGGAACCTGAAAATAGACTAAAGCTCTACCAGAGCAGGGACAAATTCAAGTCTTGTAGTTCTCAAGCGTATTGGAAGTATTTGTACTATGGTGATAGAACTTGCATTAGTTTGACGTAGCAACCTGTGACTTCCCGTGTGACACCACACAGCTCAGCTTGCTGTCAGCATCATCAGCAATGGTTACAGACACCTCCAAAGCCAACAAAGCCTGACTTCCAGGTACCAGCTTGATGGAGAGGCAGGAGGGAGCACAGTGTGGACTAGCCCGAACTATTCCACATCCACTTCAGAGCTATTCTGGAAGCATTTCAAGCTAGAGCTCCTTTTCAAAGCAGTTTTGCCATTTCAGTCAAGGTGCTATTTTTAAGAGTTCACCTGCAACACGTTTTGTGCTAGGCAAGAGCGTGTGGGCAGGTCCTACCTCTGCTAGGTGTCCCAGGTAGCTGTGCTTCATTACCAGAGTGTATTTATTGCTGTCTTTACCTTCACTGGTACTGCTCTCCCTGGTGTGGGAACAACGCATGTTTTTGCCACCTGCATTACACCTCCAAGGTTTGCTAGGCCCTGCCCCAGCGTGACCAAGGGCAGCTTGTGACAGTTGCCACAAGCCTTCTGGAGACTAGAGAGTAGAAACTATGAAGCTGAAAACATTTTAAGCAGTTAAGAGCAGCATGAAGTCCAACTCTGGCTGCCAAGTAGTGTGAATTGTGCGTGCTGTCCGGGGCAGCTTCTGTGTCATCCTTCATCAGCCACTGAGCATTAAGGCAAGTTCATGAAACAATTTATCAACTGTGAAGAGAGGTCTGAGCCGTGGACTAAGGAAGTTTCCCTACTCATGAAGAGTCACCAAATCTTAGAATTCAAGCTGAATGCCTTACACAGGAGCAGGCTAATTATCCTTCCATAACTATTGCTGTGAAGCCTTGTTAAGCTACTAAATAGTTAAGAGGCATGCATGTGTGTTGCTATGACTCAGAACTCCCCAGGACAGGAGCCAGCTTCCCTAACTAGGTAGCAAGTTATTTACTTTTATAGTGAAGCCATGGTTGTTCGGTATTGTCTGTCAAGTTTATGTCTTGAAAATACAACAGTTTTATTTTTTTTTAAAAAAGAATCACATGCATTTAGTTTAGGCTCAATGCTACAGTTTGTCCCACTTTCTGAAAAACGTGTGGTCCCTGTGCTACAAAAATATGGTCTGAACCTGAAGGTTAAAACCTAAAGCTGGAAGCACTGCAACAGATTCCCATGAGTTTGTCACCCTTTTATAGTTAAGATAAATATAATAAAGGAAAGCAATTGAACTGCATTTTTCTATTTTATTTTTCAAGTCTGACAAAGGCCTCGAGTGAAAGTCTATAGCTTTAACATCCATTCTCACCTTTGTGTCCCCTTGACCTATCTATGTCTTATCTACTCAATATTCCAACGGCCTGCCTAAACCACAGGTAGGCTTTTTTTTTAAACCATTTTATCGTTACAATAAGCCAACAAGTTGGCAAAGAAGAAAACAGAGGTAATACAGTTTAGTTGCACATGGCCACTGGGGCTTGGTCAAGCCAGCTGGCATTTCTGATCACTTGAGTTTCTTGGTCTAAAACTTGTGATTGGCACCTACAGTTCTGCAAGAGTCCCAATCCACAAAGTACTTAAGCTTTAAAAAAAGGAAAGAAAAAAAAAAAGCTACTTTTATTGTCAGTTCTACCTAAAGATGTCAAGAAAAATACTATTTGTGCTCTAGGTCACTTTATAATCCTAGATATCTACCAGCTTATCTAAAAGCCCCTGAATACTGTATTTTGTCTGTTCATACAGACAAACACTGTTTTGCTCAAGCAAATAAAAATATATCCACTAGTAACACCTGATTGGTTTCTTAGATCCATAGCTGAAACCCACAGGAATGTTAAAATAGTTACAATTAAGGAATTAAAATCTCAGTGATTTTGAAAACTGCCAGTTAGCCTGCAACACTAATCCAGAATCCAGCACTGCTTTTTAACAATTCAAAAAGGAAATGAGGTTGCTTGTGAAGGCCAGAGCTTTGGTGACAATAAGGACCAAATTTATAGATCTGTGGTTTGTCCAGACCTGAGCAGTTGCCCGAGCCTGGCAATCTTCTTTACTTGCAAGGCTTTATGGCTACAGCACATTCTTCATTCATTGCACTTATGACAGATATCTGGAAGAGAAGACACAGAGGTGAGCTCCAGCCCAGGCCACAGGAAGTGCTCCTAAGAAGTTACAAACTTTCCCATTTTAATATCTATCCCAGCTCTTTTGAGTGCTCCAATGCACACATCCTCTTACATCTCAAAGACCAATCCCCACCCCTCAAACACACTCTTCAGAAAGAGATATGGGTGGTCAATATCAGAGTAAGACTTCTTCATTGTATCAAGTGGGATTAACCATAACTGTTCATGCCTGCCCTCCCTACTTACCTGCACATCTTCATTGGCATTGAATTTTCCTTCTATTTCTTTGCCAAGATCCCCTTCTGGCAGCTTTAGATCCTCACGAACTTCACCACTTTCTGTCAGCAGGGAGAGATACCCATCCTGAATGCCTATCAGCTGCAAAGAGAAGTTCATTTTCAGAAGTTTAACTTCAGCACTCACCAGCAGGTAGTAGCTTAATGTAAGCAGAAGGCAGTGAACTCTATCTGCTAAAATAAGTCTTTAGTACTCTGTAACAGTTAAGAACCTTATTTAAATCCATTTTTAACAAAAGTTCAGCGGGCTGGGAGTTAAGGCAACTGTAGCAAAAGGTATTCTGCTATCAAGAACCAACAGAATTCTGCTGGTTACTTCCTAGTAGGTGGGACATTAGAAACCCCATCTGTGTGATTTAGGAAATGTGCTGTTTCCAGGTCAGTGGTTCAGCTTTCTTCATTGGTGAATTAGAAACAATAACTGGAATGGAATTAAGTCAACAGCACTGCTTGTATGAAGTGCACAAAATACACAACAGTGTAACTCTACACTTCTATACCTGCATCTATACAGTGCGATAGTATCATTTACATTAAACACTAATAAATTAGGGAACATCCACCAAGCCCTAGACCATTTTTGTAATGCTGTTTTCAGCCTAACCAAAAGCGTGGGCTAAGGGGAATGGCTATTTTGATAGAGCACATTGGGGAATTTGGAACATGTAACAGTAAATCCAAAAAATCAGAAGCCCAGAACAATAAAGACCATCAAGGTAACACTAAGAACTTCTTGGAAGGTTTGAACCCTAAGACAGGTTGGTCACACTTTATTCCAACAACATCAGCTGTCCTAAAAACACTAAAGACTGTTCAAAACATTGAACTTGGCTTTTGTCAAGCAATTGCAGCTTTCCAGATGATGTGGATGTGTCAGTTCCTGATTACAGCTATTCCCAATGCAATGAGAAGACAGCAAACAAGTTACAACTCAGCCTGAACTGTGCTTTTAAAAGCTTGCTAACCATATCACAGAAGGCATTAGAGAGAAGTTGCTCTCTTCATACATTTCATTGCAGAGCTCAGGAGCTTCGAAACTATTTGATGTCATCTAATGCTACTTTACCCACAGGAAGCAGAAAACACTTTGGCAAGTGTTATAATTGGTATCAGATACAGTTAGGACTGTTTTGGTGATTCATCTACCCCATGTAAGAGTGAAACTATAAATTAAAATTTATGCTTAGACTCAGATTTAGTTATTATTAGATCTTGATTCTCCCTTTGGCTAATATTAACTTACAGCAGGGAAAACCTCTCTCTATATTCTTAAGGATGCCACTACCACAAAGAATCCAGAAGTGGCCTTAAAACAATAGCTAGAAAAATCATGGTATAAATTATGTCTATTACCTGTCATGCTTAAAGACTGCTACTCTGACCTGAGGTTGTTTATACACTAAGGAGCTCTCTCTTCATCAGTGAGTTTTAACAATTCAGTAGATGCTATGAGTTCACCTGTGTCATGTCCAGACAGGCAAGTTCCATTAATTCTGGCTTTACTGAGAGGCAGATTTGGAGATGAAGAGCTTATGTGTGGTGCTGAGAGTATAAAACCTTATATGACTGTTAACTCACCTGGTAATCATTCCTCTTGATATTTGGAACATCCATGTTATGAGTTGATGGGCAAATATCTTCATATTTTTTACCAGTGAAGATATCAATACCAACCAAATGAACCTGTAAGAGTAGAAAAATAGCTTCAGTTACTGTTGGTCCTGGAGAAGCAAGATGTTATTACCATCAGTATTGCTGGTTCTACTCTACTCCTATGAGATCACATGCAATCCCAGATACTGCCTCAACCCTTTGCTTGTGGTATGAAAACATTCCTCACATGGAGAGGGGCTTCTCACTCCCTTCCACAGCACACTACAGAAACCCTACATGAGAACAAGACCAGCCACTGTTATCTTCCACTGCCTTCTGTAGATTTACAGCAGCAAGCTAAGAGTTCACAGTGGTTAAGAACATGTTTATTTTAAGATCTAACTGCTCTATGAAACAGATAGTTAAGGGGAAAATAGGTGGTCATGCACAGAGATCACAGCAGCTCCCACCTCCCTTTATGCCAGCTGCACTGCTTGCTGCAGCTAGAGCTTAGATGACCAGTTTAACCAGTTCTTCTCAGGTCCTTTTCCTCTCATTTCTGTATTTAAGAAATTTGGATCTGTCTATTAAAACAAGCCATTAAAAAAAGGGGAAGGAGAAAGGAAAAACATAGGAAGAGCTTGACCTACTCTAGCTTGGACAAACCCCAAATACTCTACTCCCCTACACATATTGTACAAGGTCGTGGAAACTTACATATCTCCTTACTCTGTGCTTGTAACAGAGCTGTCTCTAAACTCTGATACACCCACCCCAAAGTGTGGCTGAATGAATGAATGAAGAGGGATTTCAGCCTTGTTCCAAGCTCTGGACAGCTGCATGAGCCAACTGTTTGTGCAGCGGGGCTGCAGCCCCAGACAGTGGCTAAGAACATCCCTGCTGGGACAGGGGCACTCCTCCCTCAGTGCTGGAATAAGGAAGGAGCTGTGAGGCACAGGCAGCAGAACAGGGCCAAGGCAGACCCACAGAGAACCAAGGAGTGTCCGCCGATCTCTGGGTTATGTAACACAGCACGGGCACTCCTGGTCTAACACCGCAATAGTAAAAGTCTGCCGGCACGGGCAGACACAGAAGTGCTCTGGTGGGTAGTGACAGCACAACCCAACCACGCCCTAGTGATTTCATCAGCCCCCCTTCCAGAACTTACTCTACCCCCGCTACAGAAACTGGTCTTGTCATTATAAGTGTTAAACTTTCCTTTTTTTCTTAAAAAAAAAAAAAACGTTAACGAGTAAAAGTTGGGAGAACAAACCAACCCCCTCCCCGTTTCTCAATCCTTCCTGCTTTACAGGACTGCAACCCCTCGAGCCAGCTCTGGAGTGATGAGACATCGCTTCGAGAAAGGCAAAGGCGGGACGCAGAGCCAAATGAAACGCTACACCCTTCCCTGTCGGCCAGCCGGGAGCCGCAGGAGCGCACACTGCGGGCTGTGCGACAGCCGGGCCGGCAGCGCTCACCTTGGCGTGGCCGTGCTTGCCAGTCTTGGAGGTGGACATTTCCACGATCTTGCAGGGACGCCCCTTGAGCACCACGAAGCCGTTCTTGCGCAGCGCCGAGCACTGCATGGGGTAGGTGGAGGAGGCGCCGGCATCGCCCGTGGTGAAGTCGAGCTCGTCGGCCATGGCGGTGAGAGGGGGAGGACTGGCGGCGGGGGGGCTGCGCGACAACGAGAGAGGATCGGCTCGGAGCCCCGGCGGCGGGAGGGGGAGAAGGGGACGGACAGGGACCCAACCATCCACCGCGGGGAGCGCGGACCGGGCCCCCCCACCCCGCACACGTGCGCGGCGGGCGGGACCCGCC